CTCTTGATCGGACGGGTGGGTGTTCGGCGGCGGGACGGCGGGTGCTGGCCTCGGGTTCCATTTGTAGTTCGGGCTTTAAGTGCATTTTGTTGCCATTTTTTGCCCTGCCGTTTGGCTTATTTCGTTTGATTTTATGCGGTTACGTGAATTCATTCGAGTGCTGCTGTTGCTGCTGCTGCTGCTGCTGCTCCTGCCGGACAACCCCCGGCCCCCCGCCACCGGCCAGTCCCTCATTTGCCCTCTCGCATTTCCGCACCAACCACTCTCGTGCCGTATCTCTCGCTCTCCCTGCTGCTGGCCGGATAGTGTGGTGGTGGTAGTGGCAGTGGTAGCTTTCAACGTAAGCGATTTTTTATGTACGCCTGTGGTTTTAATTTCAATCATTTCGCTGGTTCCTCGCTTGGTCGGTTGGCTAGTTGGTTGGTTTTGGCCTGTTATGGTTGAAGCGGTTAAAGCGTGGGTGGTGTACACTGTACAGGAAAGCGGGGAGGTGGAGGTGGATAAAGGCCTGGAATGGTGCTCGAAAATCAACGTTAATAAATATGCAAATGCGATTGCGATGCACAAATACGATTACGCTGGCCTCTCTCTCTCTTTCGGTCCATATGTTGCCGCCCCTAATAACATCGCACACACACACACGCACACGAGCAGAAACACACATGCAAGCGGCTAATTGCTTTATCATTTGTGTGCGAGAAAGAGCTTTAATACTTTAATGGCCACTTGAGTCGCAAAAGTTGAGGTTTGTTTCACCCTCTCTTACTCTCTCTCTCTCTCTCTCTCTCTTGCTATCCTCTCTTACATATGCTACAAATTAGTTATAATTAAGTTGAGGCACAAGCTGCACGGAGCGAGCTCCTTTAGTCTAACACTTAAGCTGGCAATACAGTTACGTTACTCCGGATCACATGGCCATGTATGTGGCTATGTACGTGGCACACGACCCACCCATCTCACCCACCCATCGCAACTCCTTTTTTGCCGAGTTGCTTACCCGACACATTAAATGTAATTAGCTGCGCGTAAGGTTAGCGCAGAACTTCTACTTCTGCTACGGAGGACCAGGACACCGTCTCTAATTAGTTATCTAAAAGTTAGTTGGCGACACTAATGGCAGTGGAAGCGCAGCAGCGAAACAAACACTGGGCTATGTTGCCACGAAACTTGTGTAGCATACTTTCCTGCATTAGCATTGGGTCGCTGCCTCTGACTTTCTGCTTTGTTTCTACTCACCACCCCTGGGTGTGAGTCTGCCACTGGCACTAGCACAAATCATTTGTTCAAGCAACATCAACAACAAGAAGGAAGGACATTAAGGTTCAGTGACCGAAGTTATAGATACCCTATGGTAGATGGCTATATGGACTCGCACTACATATATCTAAATATACATACATTTGTGTAGCAGTCCCCCTCTACGAGGGGGTATGTATGCATCGTGACAGCCCTTAAGTGATGCCATATTTTTTTTGTATTTTATTTCGCTAAATTTACGCTACCTATTGTTTCTGCATTCTCTCCTTCTCCACTTTCTGCCACTTTGCAGTCGTTTGTTTTTGCTGTCCCTCTCTCCTCTCCGCTCCTTCTGCCCCGTAAATCACTCCAAACATAATGCGATGTAGTTAAAATATGCGCTCAAAATGTTCCTCTGTTCCGCTCTATGCAAGAAAAATTTGCTAAAAGTTTTTCTTGTCCGCTTGGCTATATTTATATGTATACACTTTTTTGTATGCTCTTTTTATGCTGTTCCGAAACTTGTGGCATGGCTTATTGAGTTGCCTCTGCTGCTGCTGAGGACACGTCCATAAATGTAGGGGAGGCGGAACTCTCCTTGCTGCTGCTCCTGCTGCTGCAGCTGAACTGACTTTATACTTGAACAAGTGCTTGAAAAATTACTTGATATATGGCCTGCGAGTGGAGAAGAAGTCCTGAGCAGATATTTTAACGGGGGATTTTACAAAAGCTGTATACAAATTTACATTTTACAAGCAGCAGACGAGCGTGCAGTTTCCTTGAAGGGTGGCAAGAGCGAGTGTAAAAATATAAGTCTTCATCCAGGCATTGCAATTAATCAGTTCTGCACTGACATGTTCATCGGAATCAGCTTGGCTTTTTATCGTTAGTCGATAGAGGCAAAGCCGAAAAGCTTAAAAATTGGAAAGATCCAAGCTTGAAGCTTATCAGTCCGTGTTGTTCGTGTAGTTGAGTGAACTCGATTAAGCACAAAATAATATCTATGGCTTTTTGAATACCTTTTCAAACGCCTATCTGCTCCTTGACTTCTCACCTGCCGCCCACAGTTCACCCAACCATCCGCTGCCCTTGCGGCATTCCTCCCCCGTAATCTGATCGTCATCATCATCATCATCATTCATCATTAACATTACCGTGTATCATGGCCGAGTGCCTCTGTGTTAACCAATATTTACACAGTTACATTTTTTTTTTTTGATTGCATTCCCTGCCCCGAGTACAGTTTATATGTACATATATTTTATACTTTACTTTTCTATATTTTATTTTTACCTTTTTTGTAATGCGTATATATTAACAGGCGGCAAACAAGTTTATTTGTTTTTGTTGTTTTTTGTTTTTTGTCGTTTGTGTTTGCATTATTAAACGGAAAAACACAAATTGTTTTCATAGGGTGTGCCCCATGGGAGGGGTCTGGTCTGGTCTGGTCTGGTCTGGGGCGTTGGGCGAAAGTAAATGGAAAAAATTGCCAGAGGCAACATTTTGTGCCAATTTTCACTGGCAAACATTTTCGGCATTATTATTTTTTATTTTTTTTTTTTTTTGCTGTTTGAAACGAATGAAATTCATAATAAATAAATACAAATTCACATTCGAACCCGAACCCAAACCCTCGAACTAACATTGTCGTTGCTGGTCCTGTTTTCGATGAAGCTTTTATTAGGGGGAGTGTGGGGGGATGGACGCATCGGCAAAACATGGCAGCCAACAGTTTCAATTTATTTCCAATGTTTCAAAATAAAAAGAGCAGACGGGAGGAAAAAAATGTGAAAAGTAAACGTAAATTGAACATTTTAGCGCGCTTTTAAGCAATGTTTTTTTTACTTCACACACACCCTCCACTTTCCACCCTCCTCAGGCCACAATCAGCGCACCCACACACACACCTGTCCAACAACAACAACAACAACAACAACAACAACAAAAATAACAGCATTGCACTTAGAACTTCCGCACGATAAAATTAAATGACGGCTGCTCTGCTTGCTCTCTTCACTTCACGTACGTCTCCATCCAAAACAATCTATATCAAGGAGGAGAGCAGCAGGAGAGAGGGGGAGAGAGAGAGAACGACAGCGCCCGTGAGCGTTGGAAAAAAAGCTCAAGAGCGTGACCGAAGCCTTGAATACCCTAGTGGATGGATGTACAGGTTTGATTACTTTTGTATATCTTGTATATACCTTGCAAGTGTCTTCTTGAAGGGTATTGAAAGCAAAATATATCGGCGTGAAGAAAAATAATAATAGGAAGCAAAGGGAGGAGGAGGAGGAGGAGAGGAGGAGAAATCACTTATGATGAAGTTGTTGCTGCTCTTCGTTTGCCCGGCGTTTTGTTTGAAGTGGGCGCCCGCCCCTGAAATGATGTTACCGTTAACAAGGTGAAAGCGAAAGATGAAAAATCACTTAAACAATTTGATATTTGATTTGCCTGTCGCAGCCAGAGTACCAGCACCGCCCGCCCATTCCTCCGTGGTCGGTCCTCCTCCTTAAAGATTTATAGAGTTTTTATCAGCACTTCACCGCCATCCTCCCATTCCCCTTGCCCTCATCCATATCCACCGAAGAACAGCTCATAAATACGCATAAATCCGAGCTGATTTGATTTTCCGCTTTTGGTCTCTGCTCTGGTCTGGTCTGGTCTGGTCTGAATTATGGCCATAACAAATCTTTGGCACGGCTAAAGCCAACGTCACGTAGTCACATCCCTGAGGGGGGGTACAGGGGGAGGCACGAGGCAATGGAGCAGTCAGTCGGCCAGTGGATGGCAACTAGACTTTATTGATAAAGGCATAATTTATTTGAACAATCGACAAAACGCTTGTGTCAATAAAGCCAGATAAATATCTGGCATTGTAGCGGCTTTATGGCCCTTTTTTTTCCCCCGTTATTCGATTTTCCCCGTTGCTCTTTGTTTTGTGGTTGCGTGACAGTGGCCAGTGGGGCGGGAGTGACAAGGAGATGGAACAGGCTGACACCACATGGTAATACAGTGAGATGTCGCTAAATGGCACGATATCTAAATGCGGCATATCGCTTCACAGGAGCCGTCAGAGAGTTTGATCCCTGAAGAGTCAAGCAAATCGGGATTATCTTCTGATCTGCTCTATCGGATTACTACTGTTCACCGATTAAATTAAGTTTTGCTTCTCATTATTGCGGCATTAAGCTCTGCGGGTCACGTAATAAAGTCAATAATTAATTGAAATGTTGAGCCATTTATAAATAAAGGTCAATTACAAATTGGTTTAATTACATTGCAGCTATTTACATGACACTGAATCAACAGTAAAAAACCATAAGCACATACATATGTACATACGAGTAGGTATATACATATGTGTGCAAAGAGCTCCTGACATCATGAAAACAGAATGAACATACAAATGTAAGCTTTTTTCTCGTATTTAAATCATGTTCCTGGCATATGTTTAAGAGGGAAATTTATGCGAGTGCAAACAGTATGAAAATAGAGCGTGGAGAGGAGTGGTGGCATGGCACATACGGCAGAAGTTTAGGCCTGCTGCAGACACGACAAGACACGTCGCACTATTTTGCAGTTTTTTAACGGTACATGTCAGGCCGAAGGGCAGAAGGAACGGGCGGGACAGGGCGGGGCGTGGGTCTCACTTGGCAGGCAAACATTATCGCCTACGTGAGCTGTAAGCTCAAGTGAGCTTCAGTCGAAGCAGCATTTGTGTCCTTTCTCTCTCCTTTGTGTGTGTCCGTGTGTGTGTGTGTGTGGGGTTACATCAATTTGTTAAGCATTCACACGTTGCACTGATAATTTTATTTGATTTTTATTTGATGCTACAAATAAGATGCTGATAACATTATGTCCTATCCTGTTCCACTCCTCTCTCCGCCAAACTTGAACTTTAATTCTATTTTGGCACCCCCCCTCCGGCCCAACCATATTTTCTTTCGTTCTTTGGCTCCTTCCCTTTCTGCCTCTCTCTCTCTTTCTTTCTTTACTTGAAATGATTATTTTATCGCTGTTGGCAAACATTTGTTAGCATTTTAATTACATTAGAAGGCAAACACTTGAAAACTTTGTCAACTGGCAGGCGAAAAACTTACCACAAAAAGCACAAAAATAAACGCCAAGAAATTACAGTTACGAGTGGTAGTGGCAGTGGCTGTGGCAGAAGGACGCGGCAACGCGGCAACGTCTGATGCAGCGGAGGCAGACTGTCGCCTGGCCACCCCACCATAATGACAGCATGTTGCAAAGTTCTTTCTCGCTCTCGACTACTATATCTGTCTCCGATAGCAACGTCGGAAACGACAAGTTAAAGCCTGCTGCGGCAACGGAAACTGTCACCCGTCGTCCGTCCGCCCCTTCGATGCTTCGCTTTTGCCGTTCAATAGTTGAGTGGATAGATAGATAGATATATAGATACATACCTGCAATGAGAAAGAAAGAGAGATGGTTGCATTAGTAAATGTTTGGCTTGGTTTGGTGCTTGGTGCTTGGTGGCAAGAAACGGTCTAAAAAGTTACCTAATTTTACAATAAAATGTTAATTGTTAAAACCAGACAAAAATACGATTTCTAAAGAACACCCTGGGAACCATTGGCACTGACTGAGTTTTGGGAATCCATATAAAAAACGAAATACATTTAATTTGAAAACTTTTCGTTGGCTGTTCCCTTTTTTGTATTGTTAAGCAATGTTGTACTTGGTCAGCGATGTCCCACCCATTTCCATCCCACGACCCCATCGATCAAAGTTTGGCGTGTTTTATCCGTCAGCACTTATTGCCTGGCCCCGGGCTGTATCCCTGTGCTGTGTGGTGTGTGTTGTGGTGTCAATCGGTGGGTTAGAACCGACACCGACACACACACACACAGCGACTGCAAACAAAGGAAACATTAAAAGTGCCCGACACCACTATGGTTTGGGGCAGCTATGGTCAGACAGCCACGCCCTGGGGGGTCCGGCCGGATACGGTTAACTGCTGTTGTGTCCTGGCTGTTTGCGTGTCTAACACTTTGAAAGCGAACCTTCGACAATATTGATCCAGACAGGCTCCAATCAGCGTCAATCGCTCGAGTGTTGCATGGTGTCCCAATTGGTGTTTTTTGCGACGCCAAAAAGGGCTCACAAATTCATAGCAACAGCATAAATTATGAACAACAAATTGTGCGAAAATAATCAGCGACTTTCCCAGCAGTGAAAGCCAGTGAAAGAGCTGAGAATTAATTGTTGATTAAATTGTGAATAATCGAAATCGAAATGTACATAAAGCCCTACAAAGATGAAGAATAAATTAAATCAGTTTGCTACTGTACCAAGCCTTTCATTTCGGGGCAAAACTAATTCCCAGCTGGCCAACATCGCGCCGTCTTACAGGCAGCACCCCAGGCAATTGGCTTAGAGCCGGGGAATGGCAAACTCCAAAACTTAAGTCAAGTCGAGAGTCAACTGCAACTGCAATAACTAAGGGGGAAAATGGCTGGGGGCTCAACGAAAATTGAGATGCAGATGGAGATACAACAAGTGAAGTCGTAGGGGATGCAGATAGAGATGTGCGCCCCGAAACTTGTATGCAATTGTTTTATTTTAATTGCTGCCTCGGACATGGACAAGGACACGGACCCCGACAGATTGGAGAAAGGCAAGCAAATGAATGAAACAACAAATAATGAAAAGAAACAGAAAATATATGCGGAGCTGGCATTTTGGAACTAAAACTAAAGCTGAAAACTGAAGTTGAAGTTTCCCCTTCTGCCGCCATGTCCAACCAAGCCGTTTGCCTCTTGCGAATCGCTCTCTCAGTTGGACGAAAATAAAATTAATTTAAAAGTTTTAAACAAGTTTTCCATTATACGGCCACACGCAGAGAGCATCGGGAGCATCGGGCATCGGGCATCGGCGGGCAACTTTCCTTTTGGCGAGTAGTTAGAAACATTAAAAGTTATGCTTCTGCTTCTGCTGTTGCGCTCATATTTTTGATTTTTCGCAGTCGGGTTCCTCCGCTCCCCTTCTCGGAATGTGCACTCGGACTTAACTGCTTTTGGCCTTGGCTATTTAATTATGATTATTGAATTTAAAATGTCACAAAAATGCGAGCGGATTTGTTTTGGGCCGTGCAGTATGAGAGTACAAAACGGAAATGGTCAGCGTATTTTACCTGTACCCGTAATTACTTAAAAGCTTTGCGCTACTTCCTACATACTTTTTGATCCAACAGGATGAGGGGAGTGAAACAGGATGTCCCCATGAATAATACATAGCCTCCCGTATATATGTAAATTAAATTGCTGCTGCTTTTGGCTGCTAATGGAAATGCTAACAGCATAAAAGCGAATTGAAAGTGGAGGCCAATATCCAAAAGTAAATCAATAAATATTCGTTAATTCGAAAAGTGCATGGCATTCTAATAAAATACGAATGAATTTATGGTTTAAATACGGTGAAAAATAACAAAGATAAGTGTGAAATATCAACCCAAAGCGATGTCATATTTTGTTGTGCAGAAAAGCCAATTAATTCATGTCATTTGACAGGGCAACGAAGTGAACGAAGTTTACAAGAAAAACGACCCTTTTTCCACTGAATAAATATTTATATTCTCTGTGCTATGTGTACATATGTATAAGTAGTTTAATTATGGATAAAAGACTGCTGGACAATAACATAATATACATACACATTTACGTATACAATTTGTTGCAGTCAAGTGCATTGATTGAAATTTACTCCGGGAAAATTAATATGCGACCTTCGGAAACAATTGAATTCAATTTAAAATCGAGCAGCAACCACCGCGTCAGGCGATGTGCAGGTGATCTCAGAATGCTTCGGACTTCGACAGGGTTTTTCCTCTGCTTTAAACTGAAAGCTTTGATCATTCTTTTTCGCTGTCATAGGTTTATTTGTCCATAAAATACTTCTTACAGACGCAACTGTACTCCAAAGCTGCCATTTTTCTCTAATGCCATTTCCATTTATCCTCCTGCCAAGAGGTCGAACCTGACATTATTGTTTATTGAGGCTATTGTTGTTAAAAATTTTGAGTTGACAGCCAGACTGTTAAGCCGCCTGCTGCCTTCACTTAACTTCATTATGTCTGATGGCTGAGGGCCACAGAGAAAGTAAGGAAAGTAAAGAGAGGAGGAGAAAAGGCTAAGCTTTATGGCGTGCGTAATGCCAGAGTTGAAATGAGCGCACGTTAGACCAGAACGTGCTAAAATTTAATGCTTCAGCTCCAGCTACAGCTACAGCTACAGCTTCAGGTTAAGGTTGAGGTTCAACTTTAGCTTCAGGTTCAGGTTGGGCTGGGTTAAAATACTCGTAATGTAAGCGAGCGCAAAATGAATGATAAACGAGCACACGTCAAATTCTTTGGCCAGAGCGAGCAGGGAGAACAGCTGCCTGGGCAGGAGGAGGAGCAGGGGCAGAAGCAGCAGCAGCCCACGCTGGTTATATAAATGGTGCATGAAAAAGCCAAAATAACAAAAACGACCAAGTGATGTGGCACGTTCTTATGGCGTGGGAGGTCCTGTGTCCCTTCCCTGGCTTGCTTCTACGAGCTCTGTTTACTTTTGGTAAACATTTTTAGCGCTGTCCTCCCCTGCTTGCCATCGCTTGCCCCATCGCTTGCCCCATTGCCTGCCCCATCATCATTTGGTGTGTGTTTTTGTTGTTGCTGTTGTTAAATTAGAATTATTGAAATTTACTTGGAGAGACTGACATTAGAGTCAGCTGTTTTTATTGGTTTATTCAGCTTGAGCAATAAATCCAGCGAATGATTAAGTGCTTTGGCATCCATTCGTTGAATCGTTGGATTTTTTGCGTTGCTGGCAGGCGCCACAAAAGGTGTGAAAAAGCATTGCCAGACAGCTGCTTGCCGCGAATTTTCCCAAACAGCAGCCCCATCCCCCGCCAATGGAATGTATCCATGGCTCTAGCTGGAGATATTGGGGTTGGTTAACCCCCTTTTATCCGACAGAGTCAGGCACATGTCATCCTCATCCAGGATTTTGCTGGGTTTTGGGCCTTTCTCGCATTGTTTGCTGCCTGCATATTTGACTGTTGACAGCTGTCTGAGGCACTGAGCAGCGAGAGCAGGGGCACCAGAGAGAGAGAGAGGAAAAGCTGCGGCTGGCAAAAACTTTTTGGCATGTTTCTACGCTTTTAGCCCAATGTTGGCGTCACGACTTTTGCTCTTCGCGCGGCATATGTTTGCATAAATGCATGCAACACCATCAGCAGCAGCAGTAGCAGCAGCAGTAGCAGCAGCAACAGAAAAACTCTCGGAATGAAAGATAAATTTAGCAAATACGCTGAAAACACACAGATAGGCGGACAGAGCAATGGACAGACGGATAGTTAGACAAGGGATACGCAAGGGATATCCTCAACAACTTGAAAATTCCAAAGAATTTCATGGACCAATTTGACGCGAGTTTTTAAGTCTCATTTTTTCCTGGATTCCCCTGATTCCTGATCATAAAAAGTCACACCAATGGCAAATTAATTTGTTATAAAAATATACCGATAAATCATGAATAATTTTTAATAGTTTTTTACGGTCATACATCGATAATGCGAGTTTATCTTTGTTTATTTATGCTGTTGGCATGCAAAATGAAGCAATGATTTATGATGGCTAGGGGCTAAAGAATGCATAATAAACTGCCATAAGCGCGTGTAATCGATCAATTATCGATAGTATTTCAGTTTGATACATTAATAATCCTTCCTTGCAATGTTTGCCGTATGCATACAATCCAATTAAACCAGAAACCAATCAGCGTTTAAAGTTTTTTTCCACCAACATTTCTGCAATAATTGGCAGGGCATCGGCTTTTTCCGCCACGCTGAACCGCACCATCGCCACCGGCCTGTCGGCCAGCTGCATTGTGCTGCCCAAACGGGGAGAGAGGGCGAGACATAACGGTCCCGGCCAGACATCATCAGACATCGAGAGCATTCCATCAACACTGCACAGCCAGGGCCAACAAAAAGTGAAGACAAAAACATGGCCGCTATCGAGGCTGACCATTCGGCCGCCCAGTCTATCAGCTTGCGCTACCCTTGGCGCCCTCGATCTACGCAGGACCCTATGGGACAATCCTGCAATCCGGATATAATTTTTCATTTTCATCCCGACACCTTTTTCAATTTCAGCAATACAAATGTTTGAATTTGTGCCGCTTGACTAGCTCTGTTCCTCTCTCCGTCTGGCTATCACACACACCCACACACACACACTCCTCCTCCGCGTGCCTCAGCAGCTCCTGCACCTGCACATTCCCCATTCTAACTGCAATGCAATAAAATTTCAATATGCAACTTGGCAAAGTCATGTCCGGGCATGGGGTTGTCGCCAGGTGAGGCACAGCCTTTGAGCTACACCAATTTTGTGTTTTTTTTTTTTGGTGTTCTCTGCAGTGCCAGGGTGGTGTGACACCTAAATGAAAGTTTGCTCGAGAGGAGGTCTGTTAAAGGTGGTGGTGGTGGGGGACAAAGTGACTAGACTGCACCCTGGAGCGGCACTGGCTAAGCAATCAATATGCGAGCAAGTCTGCCACTTGTTTGGCTTTCTTGGCCCCGGGACAAGACTTGTGGCAAAGTAGCTGCTGCTGCTGCTGCTGCTGCTCCTGCTGCTCCCTCTTCACAGACCGTAAGGAGTGGCTGCCGCCTCAAGTGGCCCCTTTCACACTTTTGGGTTTGTCGTGTGTTTTTTAAGAGTAGTCTATTTTTTTGATACACTTTCTGAGGGTGGAACGGCTTGCAATGCAGGCAAAAAAGCATTTCAAGAGCCAAATATCATATACATATACATATGTACATATGTATGTGGAAGAGTATGAAATGCTTCGGCTTGGCTTTTGTTTTGGAAGCGCAGCTAGGAGAGGGAGCGATGGAACACCAGCAATATTGCAGTTTTGGCTCAAGTTGCTGCTGCTTCCCTTCCCCACCATCTTCGGGTTCTTCTTCTTGGTATTTATAACTTTTTCTTTGCGCGCTCAGAAATATCAATTGAACACGTTTCCACACACACACACACACACACACTCACAAGCTCTCAAGCTTACAAGGCAAAAAATATGAAGAGTGCACTTGAGAGAGTTGAAAGCAGCGTCGTCAGAGAGAGGGAGTGAGCGAGAGAGAGAGAGCGGCGGGTAAGGGCAGATTAGAAGTGCGAGTATGACCGGAGCCAGATAAAGCGACAGACAGACAAAGAGAGAGAGAGAGAGACAACGTTGACAGCGGCACACAACGGAAGTTTTTTTGCTGATTCTCCTGCGCTCTTCGCTCTTACTTTTTCATATTCTCCTTTTTTGTCAGACATATTCAGTTACAGTTTGTGTTCGAAGAGTGTTGGGGGAGGGTGTTTGGGGGTGCGCCGGTCATGCCTTTGTTACAGTTTGCTTAATTGCAACGTTTTGTAGCATAATTGTGGTACTGCCGCATCCGGCAGATACATTCTGTTCGCCGCCTGCATCTTTTGTTTGCCCTCAAGTGGCGTTTTAACCAGTGCCTGAACACCTTCCCCTGCCACCTACCTTCATCAAACGATTGTAGATTGCGCACATTTTAGCGAGCAAAAGTTTCGAGTGATTTGAGAACCAACACAATGGACCTGGACCCCATTGATTGGCCCCACCTCCCCCCCTCCCACGGAACAACGAGTACGTGTTCATTAAAAGTACACCAGCGACAGCAAGTGGGCAGCACAAATCATAATTAGAGGCGGGCGCTACCATTGCCACACATCGCCATGCACCGCCCCCGCCCCCCCCGCCCAGACCAACACTGCATAATTAACGGTATCAGTGAGCAAGCACATTATTATGTACTATTATTAGCGGAGAGAGAGGAAGAGAGAGAGAGGTTGGGAGGAGTGGGAGAGAGGCATAAAAGCTCACTTAGTATGCCAGACAGCTGCCAATAAAAAAAAATCCTACATACGTACATACATATGTATGTATGTACATATACTCACACTCCTGCTTCCCTTTCCCCATCCACCTACTGAGTTTTATGGAGTTTGCCTTTGCCGTCGCCTTCCTTCTGTACTTTACCGTTAGGTTGGCATATGCAAATGACTTTGGCGCCCGGCGTGTCATTATGCGTATCCCACTCTCTCTCTCTCTCCCTTTCTCTCTCTCACTTTTTCTTGTTTTGCGGGCGACTGTACCCAAAATGAAGGTAATGGCGTCAAATTCAAATCGCGTCTCATATGTTTTACTTTTGTGCGCTAATTTTATGATCATTCTGGCCCAACAGCCCACGAGTGAGGGGGAGTGAGATACACTCGTAGATGCGTGCGTCTGTCAAGCCAGGAAACATCTTCCTTCCGCAGCCTCCACACCCCCACTGCCCCATTTGGCCTGTCACGTGTAATTTGCAGGGACCTTTTCGAGCCATCCTCCCCTCTGGATGTCGTCAAATGTGCTAACGACCAATTTGGGGGCAGCCCCCAAGCGAAACGAGCCTAAAAAAAACTCTGTCCCCCTTGCCTTCTAGATTTTTTGTTGTGGCTTTTTATTAAATATTAAATTAAATGTATTTAAAAGCGAGTTGGCAACAAAAACCAAACGTCCCTTTATACCTTTCAGATGCGCTAAATTTTAATTGAAATACTTTAATATTAATATGCAAACTTTTTTATGCGCTGATGAGTATGCTACAAAATATTGTTCAGTTTATATACAATCTGCGCTGCCAGGCCTAAGTCAAAGTTAAGCTACTGCAACTATCCAATTCTCATTCTGTATTAAATATTCTTCGCTCTGTATTTGCCTTCCTCTCTAACTCAAGATAAAAATTAATACTAGAGATTTATAAACATTTTAGAGTTATCCAGGACCACTATTCGCAGCATCTCTACCTTACACGTATTATTAAATATTCAAATATATAAATTGGTTGAAATTTTCCATTCCCTGGGTAATATTTCCCATACCGAATGTTAAATTAATGCCCGGAAAATACCTATTTCAGCCAATCAATGGAAAATGAAGCAAAGGCGATACTCTGGGGCGTGGGCAGCAGGCCAAATTCATTTCAGGTGAATATCCTT